CCCGGGATGGGGAAGCTCCAGGGTTGAATCCGTGCTCGCTCCATCTCTCTGACAGACACTGGCAAATCAAATACCTCAGGAATCCCCAATCCCACCCCTGTGGCAAAATTTCCAGTTGATCTGGAAAAAGTCACTCCGGCTCTGACCCACCAACCCACTGCGCTTTCCTAGTGCCACCAAATCAGACCCCTGCTTCTCCATCCCCAAAACAAGGACACGATGAGGAGACCTGAGCATGTCTGGCCAAGGCCAGGCAGTTCCCTGGTCGCTACAACGCAGACAAAACAAAGTCCTGGGCTACACACGACCAAGCACCTTTACAGTGAAATCCCAAGATCAGCAAATCCTGCCCGTGGCGTCAGGGACAGTTCAGGAAGTGCAGCTGGGGCACAGGGAATGGAGTGGTGGTCCCAGAGGATCCCTGTGCTGCCCCAACCTGTGCACAGGTCGGAACGGACCTGCACAGGGTCTCTCAGCACGCGGGGGTTACAGACCATCGCCACCAGCTCTCCCAGCCGGCTCTGCCCCTATTTCGGGGTGTTTTCGGCCAAGGCAGCAAGCAGATCCCTCTCAGCCCTTCACAGCAGACACTGCTACCCCCTCCCCAGCCCAAAGCAGACAGCGAAATCTCCTGGGCACCTCGGTTGAGATGCCAGGAGGCTGCTCAGAAAGCACCTCCTTCCAGAGCTCGCTCCCCTTCTCTCCAGCTGCAGGATTGCTGCTTCCCAGAAGGGAGAGAGTGAAACGAGAGATCGGAATGAGGTCCCCCTGCCAAGCTTGCTGGGCTCCGCAGCGCCGCGGAGGAACCGCTAACATCTCCCGAGCGCTCTGCCAAGCCTGGCAGCCTCCTCTCCTCCTGGCTCCACGACGGGCTCCAGAAAATCCGATCGAAGATCAGCATCCCAAAGCTCTGCTCGGTGCCACGGCAGCTGCAGCCGGCCTGGGCCACGGTGCCCTGCTCTGGAGAGAGCAAGAGGGAAGAGGAGGCCTAGCAGCAAAGCCAAAGGCCTCCTTCACCCTCCAGGACGTTTCATCCCTTGCCACCTTGCAGCCTTCCTCTGGAGCAGAGGCCAGAACGTGCGCTGAACGCAACCCCTACACACGGTCAGCACGGGCTATGGCCAGGGAGGATCTGCTCTTCCCAAAACTCACCTTCGAACCAACGCGCAGGGACCAGGCCCTGGGAACATAAGCCTTCAGCAACAAGAAATCCTGACCCCTGATGAGCTAAAGCAACAAGGCTTACACTTTCCAAAGGAGACTTTATACCATAAATCTTGACCAGGAGCAGGAGAGCTCCTGGGACATTTTCCATATGGATCAGGTATAAATCCCAAACTACTGACTTTAGCAGTTTACATTCTGCTTTCTTAGAAAACAACATGCCCTTTCCTTTCTGGCCAGCATCCATCACTGTGTGATGTGACAGCTGCCTGCCGTGACCCATCCCAGAGGTGATGCATTCTACCAGGGAATGTATATTCCTGCCAGGAAGAGGTTACGTGGGACCCAGCGTGGCTTTCTCAGCACGGCAAGAGGCCGAGGGCTTGATTCAAGCTCCAGCCCTGCATCTCCCTGCGGCGCCTGGCACACGGGACAGCACTGGGACAGCAAATGCCACCTGGCTCCCCAGGCAGGCCGGGTACCTGGCAGAAAGCAGCACGTCCCCAGCCCGGTGTAGCTGGCGGCACAGCCCAACAGCAGCAGCCACCACCTCCAGGTGACACCATCCGGAGCAGCCCAGGTGACCCCACCGGGACCAGCCCCAGCTCCCCGTCCCCGGAGCCGCGGCGAGACGGACCCGCAGCCTTCACCACCACCTCTCCCTCTGCCCCGCAACACGGTAACCCCACAAGCTCCGCTTCTGGGGGATCCAAAGAGCACCTTGATATTCAGTTACTCAGGATCTGGCTAACTGGGCCAGCAGGGAACCCTCGTAGACGTTCACTAGCACGAAACCACCCTCAGAACAAGAGCAGAGGGACCCCAGATGGGGCCTGGTGACACTGACAGTCATGGTGCTTCCTGCAGTGGGAACAGCCACAGCACCCAGGCAGGTCCCTGGAGCCATGGGAACTGCTCCTATCCCTATCCTGGCAGATAGGGGAGGACTCTACCTAGCTCTCTCACGCGGTCTCTTTCATTAGTCTACCTAAATCTCTTTAGGTAGAGGGCTCTATCTAAATCTCTCATGCAGTCTGTGCCCGCCAGGACTTCTAGAGGACCTAGACACCAGCCAGGAGCCCCTGGAGCGACCAGACTTACGACAGCAACTCTGCAGGCCTCTAACTCAGCGCGCAGCCTTGACCGCAGCAGCTGTGAGCGCGCGAGCGCCAGGGCCTGCAGGAAATAGAGGGCACTCAGGGTTACTCATAGGTGGAAATTAGACTCTAGTCGCGAGGGCGATGCTCGGCGGAACGGAGCGCGACCGTGACAGATGTTGGGCGCTGCGAGGGCCTCGGGACGTGTGTGCTGAGCAGCTCCCGCGCCGTGAGCACGGGGTAGCGCAGCCGCTGCGGAAAGGCAGCACCTCTGGGGCGAACAAGGCCGCTGCACAGCGGTGCACGGCAAAACATAACTCCTCCAGACAGGAGAGGCGGAAAAAATACAGCGTCGGGGCGGAGAACTGCAGAGCTGGGTTTTGGCCAGGAAAGAGGAGTTGGTCCTGTCCCTTATTAACACGTGTCTGAAGAGCACAACAGGGCCGGGCCGTTGGTTGCACACCGTGAGCTACCAGAGCACCTCCAGCAAGGAAGCAACTGGGAAGAGACATGCAATTCCAGGATCCCAAGGGTGAGGAGAGCAGAGCTCCTGGGTAGCAAGTTGGTGTCCAGGACTACCCTTCCACCATGGCAAGAAACGGACATTATTTCTTGCACTGAAGACCCATGGCAAGAGGTGTTGGCTGGTAGGAGAGATTCCTCCAGAAGGAGAAGCATTTCAGCTGGATCCAAAATTTCCCAGGATCAGGAATTTGCCCACAGCTAAATCACCATGCGTAGAAGCAGCAGAAGAGAACCAGAGAAGCAAGCTAGGAAGGACAGGGAAAAGGCCCAGAGGACAGGAGAGGCTAAGGGGTCAGAAACGATTCTGCAGCTCCGTTCCCAGCCTGCCCGGCTCCCTCGGCTTTGGGTACACAAGCAGATGAAACTCCACCTGCAAAGTCCTTCCTCTTCCTCTCCTCTCCGCTCTAGGCACGGCAGGGGAGACATGTGCAAGCAAAGCACCCAGGGAGAGATGAACCCAAGGGAAAAAGGATCAGCTCGGCTGCTCTACGAGATGCCTCTTAGCTTGGGCTGCCAAGGAAATCGCTATTTGGAATGGAAACACAAGCAGAGGACGTGTGAACTCACGGGATTTCACCTCCTGCAGCGCACAGAGCAGAGAGGAGACTCCTCTGTGCACGTGAGACAGCATCCAGCACAGATGCCAAAGCAGCCGTTGTTTCTCCCCCCCATCCCACAACGTTTGCCTGCAGAAGAACCTTCCTGAGAGTCACCAAGATGCCACCGAGCACCCACCAGAACCTACCAGCAGCCTCTTGCTGTAGCAGAGAATACAGCTCACCAGGGGTTGGGGTCTGCCCCATGTTAGATGGAAAAGCAGCCCGGCACCCAGCTCATGTCTGGGCATTCGCAGCGGGGACAGACCCCCCTCCCCAAACACGGGGAGCAGCAGCAGAGCAATGAGGAGCGCGAGGGGAGGCAGCTCCTCCGCCCCAGCCAGCAGCTGTGCGACCCAACAGGCAGCAGTGTAACGATTTCATCATTTTCCACCAAAATCGAATTAGTTCAAAGCCAAAATCAGATTTGTGAGCCCAGTGCTCTTGACAGCAAACCCTTTACTTTGTCAGGCAGCTGTTAGCTGTCTCCTTCGGAGCTGGGGAAGGAGGGAGGCAGGAGAAGCAGGACCCACCGTCACAGCAAGCAGCAGCCGCTGACCCACCCGAGACCACCACGAGGCACCTAAACCCCCGAAGGGACAGGAGAAGGAGCACAACAGCCTCCTCTTCTGCTTCTCAGGGCTGCAGAGACCAACCTGTGTGAGCCCTCAGGCAGGGCTGAGTATTTCATGACAGTCAAGTGCCACAAAGCAAGGCTGGGAGGACGTGGGTGATACCAGGGACAGGAGTTGTCGGGACCTCCATCAGATGTTGCCAACACGCACACATCAACCACATCTCACAGCAAAGCCCCTTTCCATGCAGATCTGTGACGCAAAAGTCCTCAACAGAAAAGCCAAGTCCCAGGGAAGCTTTGGCCCCATGCCCTGCTCCAGGAAAGGCCACGCCAAGCTGGGGAGGGTGCAGCAGGGAAGCTCCCCCAGTCCACGCAGCCCTGGATGTCTGGGCTCCCAGCGTGGTCTGCCCAGCTCGGGGTGGCTGCAGGCCCCTCATCCCAACGTTCAGCTTGCGACAAGTCCCTCATCCCAACATTCAGCTCATGACAAGCCCCTCATCCCAATGTTCAGCTCACCTCCCTCCCTCAGCCGCTAGCCCTGAGTTCTCTGCTCCCACATCTGCCATCCCCAACACCTTCTGCTCGGCCATCGCAGCGTGTCTCTAAGGAGACAACACCAAGCCCCATGAGACAAGAAACTCCCAAATTCACACCCGCTGTCAGCGAGGGAGTCTCCAGCACAGACTCAGAGGACACCTTGTGTCCTTCTACGAATGGAGCACACGGCCCTTCGAAACAGGTAACCTACTCTGCTTTAATCTACAGGGCTGGGGAACCAGCAACAGGCACCCGTGCCAGCACACAACCTCCTGCAGACACTGATTCAACTCAAAGCCAGACAGCCTTCCCACACCAAAGCCTCAAGCTCCACAAGGAATGCTACCGAGCAGGCTGAGCACCACGAGGCAGTCCTCGTAGGAAGTGAGGGGCCTCCCAGTGGGAAAATATAAGCCAGGCCAGGTAACTTTGAAGGGTCTGCATAGAGAGCACAGCCAGAGGCTGAAGACAGGCTGGCTGGGGTAGAGACAAGCATGAACTCACCGAGTTGATACAGCCCAATTCCTTATTCAAGAGCCAGGGCAGTGAGAGTTTCCCTTCCCCTCTGTAGCATGACTGGATACGCTCCTTGATCTTATCCTTGATCTTCTTCAACGTGAAGAGGCAGAGCACAGACTCCTTGGGAGGCTTAACCCTGTTTTTCTGGCCCTGGGAGAAGATGGTGAAGAGGATATCCTCCTGCTCCGAGATGCCCAGGTGCCTGGCCAAAGTCTTGCCAGGCTTGGTCAGGTAGGCGTCCTGGATCAGGCGGTATTCGATGCCATCCTGCACGCAGCCGATGGGGAACTCCACGTACGAGTAGAACTTAGGGTCATCCACACAGAGGCGAACGATCTTGGAGGTGAAAAACTGCTCCCCGGTGGAGTCGGGCGAGGTGAGCTGGGTATCCAGCTGCAAGGTCAGGTAATAAACAAACTGCTCGCTGCTGAAACTGTAGATGTAGTAGATATCAAAGGTGGGAAACTTGGAGAGCGTGTCCGAGGGGATCTTGAGCTGGGACGAGACAAACTCATCCTGGTAGACAAAGCCAAACATCTCTGCGTTCTCCTCGTTGGCCATCAGCTTGCGGCTAGAGAGCGTGGGGAAGTACTCCGACTTCCCATCGATGGGCGTCCCAATGAAGAGCTTGTTCTGCCCATTCAGTACCTCGATGATGACCCCGGACATGGTGCCTGACTCGTTGACACTGGAGAGGTAGTGCTCCTTGCGGTGGTGGGGCTCACCCAGCTTGAAGAGGTCGTCCAGCCGCAGGAACTGGCAGATGCCCTGGGAGGCGCTGCCGCAGGCGATGAGCCGGTTCCCGGAGTAGTCCACCAGCAGCAGCTTGTTCACGTTGTTGGTGGTGACCAGACCATGCGGGCAGGACTGAACACTGGGCGGAGGGTAACACTTCTCGTTGTCCTCCACGGGCCCCGTCACGTGGGTCCGCAGGAGCGTCAGGTTATTGGAGAGCTTGTAGATCCGATTGACGGCCCCCACATAGACCTCCCCAGTTATGTTATGGACCACCAAGTGCGTCAAGCTCCAGTCTGTAACTGGGAAAGTCCTAAAGGGAGACTTGGGGCTGCCTCCCGCCAGCGGTAGCCAGGTGCTCCCCAAGAGCAGCAGGGTCCAAATGTTGACGGACAAATGATGCTTGAGCCAAAGGAGCCACATTGCAGCAGTGTCACATCCGGCCAAGGCCGTGCCCAGACCCAGCCACAAAATAAATAAAAACAAACCCAAACTAAAGGGATAGGGGAATTAGGAGGAGCTAACAGGACACAGTCTCCTCTGCGGGCTCCGCATTCAGGACATCATGGGCACTCCCAATCTGGTCAGCCCTGGAGAGAGAAAGACAAGAACAGGGGGTTAGAAGGCTTTCCTGCAACTCCCACCACGCTAGCAAGCCCGTTCCCAGGCACGTAGCAGAGGCTGCTCCGCTCTGTGCTTAACAAAACGCCCCCCAAAATCTCCCATCCCTGGAGGAGAGAAACACACGTCCCTGCCACGGGGAGCAGGGGAACCTGCGAGATGCTCAGGATGGTCCTGCCTGCTCATGCACACACCACAGCATCCCCAGCCGGCCCCGGCCCTCGTGCCGGGCTTGTCTTAAGGCCATGGGCAGCGCTGGAGCCTTAGCTGGGGACCGGCTGCTAACGAGGGGCTCGAGC